GCTATTATCAACCCTACAAGTATTAAAATTGCTAGGAGAGTTTGTAGCTTTTTGAAAAAGTTTTGATATTAGAAAGGAAAATACCTTCAACAAACCTGATATGCTTTTTTGATATTTTACTTTATGTATGTTAATTGTTGTATTCATGACTATATGCCAATGTCTGATGGTGTTGTCAATAAATAAATTGAATTGAATGAAGTAAAAATGATTAAAAGATTACTAAGAGGTATATGTTCATTGAGTGTTCATCATGTTGGAGATTCTACTGACAGAGTGTGAAGTACATTTACAGAGTGTAGAGTCTATTTAGGGGAAACACTCTTTATTTGTATATTTTATATCCTGATATATGAACCAGATACTAGTATAGTAGATTCTGTGGTGTCTTATCTCAAATTCAATGGAATGCATCAAGTCGTCATACGAATGGGAAAAAATTATCATTAATTGATAAAACAGCGTCAATATATCTAAATTCGAGTTGAAGGTCACAACATAATTTTCTTTCCTTAATGTGAAAGTTTATTAAACATTTTGCTTCACAAGAATATAAAAGCGGGTCAACTTATAAGGAGCACATCAAGTGCCAGACGCACTTCGAACACTTTGTAAGAATAATTACTTAGACTACATAGATGTTGCTAATGAGGAACACCAGTATTTGTTTCTTATCAACAACAGAAGAATAATCTTAAAGAGGCGGGGGGTGGCAGCCATTTTCAGACCATTTCTATCTCCTTTAAAAGAAGAGCTCCATATAAAGCTATACAAATGCTAAAATGTATGATTTTTTTCTTTGCCAAATGATAGTTGACAGCTTAAGATACCGTATCTAAAAAATAAGTTAAATCTGGTGGTTAATTTGTGGTTAATTTGTTGACCCCCAGCCTCCTTACCATAAGAAAGTTTGTTGACGAGCCATTACATATAAAAATTATGGATATAACGTCGGTAATCAAGTTAAGAAGGTCACCAAACAGTACAAATCTTGGAGCTAAAACATCACAGGTGGGATCTGATGCCATAGAGTAGTGAGCATTCCCTGTAGACTGGTCAAGCCCGCCTTGCCCTCCTAGTCATGATCAGAAAAAAGCGTAAAAATCCATTGTAAATTGATACGTTATATTTTCTGACCGTAGAACTTACAAAATCGTGACTGTTAACGAGACTGTTCACATTCTCGTTTTGTCAACTTGTTTGTCAAAAACTTTAAAAATAAAAAATTTAAGAATTCTTTTTGAGTTAGTTAAATTAATTGTTTACATGGACCTAAACAAAATATTCAGTTTAAAAGACTGTATTCATTTGAAGCAGAATTTGTTCAAGCTTTTGAAAAAAAAAAAACAGCATCAGATTCAGGAACAGAGTCAGCATTACATTCAATGATTTTACAAATGACCGATGACAAGGTAAGTTAAGTTTACGAGTTCCATTTTTATTGAAAAACAGCTGTCATTGATATCGAAAAGCCTGGACTTATCATGGGGAACGGTTGTGAATAAAGTTGAAAATTGTAAATTTTTAAACTGTTGATTTTGATAAAATCTTTTCAAATTTTTTTTATTTATTTCAAATTCTCCAAAAGTTTGTTCTTTGGAACATTTAAGTATCCACATCTGATTTACACCCCTTCTTGAATATATTGTTACACAGTACTCTTGAAGTGTATCCTTCACTACTGTTAATATTTCAGTGAGGAGTAAAGAATGAGGCTTGGTTGAACATTTACTTGAACCCGCTTTGTATCTTTGTTTGTTAGGATTCTTATAAAGTTTAGGAATCCAGTATATATATGGTAGTTCAACATCATTTTGGTTCTTTGGAATATTAAACATATTCAAAACTGACATATGATTTTGAAGAATGTTTTCCTTAGAAAGGGAATTATGAGTATAAGTTGGAATACCACTTGTAGAATTAAATCCAAGTTCTCCTAAAATACAATTTACATAACGAGCCTACAAACAAACACAATGTCATTACCTGCTTTGTCAGCAGGGACCAGTACATATCTAGTAGAAATATGGAGATAACGAACAGCATTCAATATCAAAGTCCATAAAACAATACAAAATAGGAGCAGAGCAAACAACATATGTGGGATCAGGTACCATGGAGGAGTGAGCATCCCCTGCCGATCGGTCACACCCGCCGTGTGCTCCTTGTCATGGTTTGGAAATAACAGAAAATACCGTTGTCAATTCAATGCATAAATAATGGACTAACAATGAGTATGAAAAACGTCTGTCAGCATTCAACTCAATGATAAATTGAACCTGCAGACAAGGTCATTGTATCGACCAAAGAACTTACGAAATGATGACTTTAAACTAGACTGCTGATATTCTTGCTTCATCAACTTGTTTGTCAATAATTTACCTCGTTTTAGAAATTGTTCTTGCGTAGAGCATGCCTTTGCGTATCGAATCAACTGAGATATATATAAACGCCATATGCAGGTGATGAAGGATATTGCTGCATAAGTAAGGGAAGTTGGCGATAAAAAAGCTAAAGTCATCACGTTTATCATAGAGCTTGGTTGTTAGATTACCATTGACGTCTTATTCAAGTAAAATATCCAAGTATAAAACAGATGTTTCAGAATCTGTGGTATCTTTTATCTCAAGCTCACCAGGATATATCGTATCGACATAGGAATGGAAATTACCATTGTTAATTAACAATACGTCGTCGATATATCTAAATGTTGAGTTGAAGGCCACAGCAAGTGTTTTCTTCACTAGCTAATCATTGCATTCAATATTTAAGTTCTGGCAATTTTTCTTATTTCCAAATGATACACCTGTACATGTACTGACAACTTTTGCAGGACTGGTTAAGAATGAACTTCACAGTTGTACACCTTTGATAGCTGTCTTATTAACCTAGTAAAGATATACCTGCTAAACCTGTATGATTTGATGATTAAATGATTTCAACAAATATTTGACTTTCTAAATCTGTAGCCCTTTTCACAAAAAATCTTAGGACTAAAATTATTTTTTTCCAATTCTTCTATATGTACCTAAATTGTAGTAGGTTACAAAAAAATCTTATACATTTGTATAAGCAATGGCTGTATATATTTGTATTTCTATTACATTAAAGTAAACTGTGAATTATTCATCTGAAATTATAATTTTCTTTATTAACCAAAGAAATATCAGAACTCTCAAATTTTAATCTTAGTCGTAAGATTTTTTGTGAAAAACGCTACTTATCTTTTATTCTTGACAAAGCTGAGTCAGAATTAAACACAAACAAAATCTGGACGCGTCATGCTAAATAGTTCTAAAAGTTTCAATTCCTAGAAAATAAAATATTTATTCTACAAAATGGTGAAATATTTCAATTAATTAATTGCATAACCAAAAAAAGGTCAATTAAAAATGAAAAATTGGGACAATGAACAATATTCAACGATCATTCAAAATATACAAACAAGTAGCATCGCAAACAAGAACCACTAAAACATCAGAGGTGGATCAAGTGCCAAGGAGAAGTAAGCATTCCCTTCCTACCGGTGTTGCAAAATATTTGGTCCGCCTCGTATAAACGTCTGGGGAACCTAAGGCGATAACAGATCAGGACCGTCTTTTCTTTGAATATGTTTGGTTCCTTTAAAAAATATCAGCCTAGTGCAAAACGTTTTGACATATGCAAACATTCCGATTGTACACACAAGTACTCTGAAGTTGACATCAAAAAGATGCTTGAGTTTCTGATTGACAACATCTATATTGTGTTTGGAGATCAGGTCTTCCAACAATCCATTGGAATTCCAAATCCCATGTGAGTACCAAATGCGCCCCCTTATAAGCAGACCTATTTTTGTATTCATATGAAGCAGAATTTGTTCAAAATCTGATGCATGAAAAGAGGAAAACACTAGTCTTGTTGTAGCCTTCAACTCGACATATATATAGATCGACGACGTATTTTCAATAAACAATGGTAACTTCTATTCTTTATATCGACACGATATATCCCGGTAAGCTTTTAAAAAGATGCCACAGATTCTGACACAAATGTTTTCTATTTTGATATTTCGCTTGGAAATAGACTTCAATGGTAATCTAACAACCAAGCTCTCTGATAAACGTGGTGACTTTAACTTTTCAATGACTAGTATCAACTTTGCTTACTAATGCAGCAACATACTTTCATCGCCTGCATACGGAGTTTATATATCTCAGTTGAATCAATAAGCAAGGACATTGCTTCACGGTGGGCATCACCGGTCGGCTGGGGATGCCCACTCCTCCACGGCACCTGATCCCACATGCGATGTTTTGGAGATATGTGTTTGCTCTGCTATTATTTTGTATTGTTTTTGTATGGAATTATGATTTTGAAAACTGTTCGTTATCTCCACATGTTTCATTGTACAATATACAAATATTTTGTGCTGTCTTTTATTTCTAGTTCACCGAGATTTTTCGAATAGACATATAAATAGTAGTAACTATTGTTAATAGATAATACTTCGTCGATAAATCTTAATGTGAAGCCTAAGCAAGGTTTTTGTGGCATGTAAAAATCTTTGGATCTTAAAAAAATATTAGATCTACTAATAATGGGATGTTCTTGGTTTTCATTGAAAATTCTTGGTTTTCATTGGAAATTCAACAGAAATTTGGCAGATCACTACAAAGATATTGACAGTCAGATCTGTGTTTGCTCTGCTCCTATTTTGTATTGTTTCATGGATTTCTGATTTTGAATACTGTTTGTATCTCCATATGCATATATTTCATTCTTTCTTCTTTCAAGTTTTAGATTTAAAAAGGTTCATTTATGATTTTGAAAACTAATTATTGGTCACTAGTCCGAATTTCTTACAGCGAAATAATCTCAGGCATTAGAACATACATGTATAAGTTATGAACGTTGGTAATCTGGACTGTACCTGCAACCTTTCAGTTGATCAGTTATTTACACGATCCTTGTTATCACCTGTTTATACCTGTGTAACCTTTGATAATTACTCAGTTGATCTCTAAGCACGCTGACCCTTCATTAAAGCAAATCAATCAACATGGGACATTTGTACTTCTCTCTGATTTTATTCTTCCTGACTGGGGGTATGTGAATCTAACTGTTTTGTTGTAAATTGTTTTTATAATGCTGATTACCTTGTTGATTTTGATTTAAATATTGTTTACTATAATATTTTGTTTGACATGTGACTTTAAATGTATCGTTCTGAAAAGATAGGAGCAGAAAAATTAAGTTTTCTCAGTCATGTTTACTTTTCAAGAGAACACAAAATTAGTAGAAAACATGTACTTGCACGATAGATAAACATGAAGTTCAAAATAAATATCTAGACCGAAATTTTCGAGGCAAAATCATTTTTTATCCAAATATGGTGTTACTTTTTTTTATTCTTTCTTCATTTGTCATAGAAAAATAAATCTCGAGTATCGTTCTGAACAACTAAATAAACCTTTAGTCTGGCATCAAAAAGAAATCCTCATCTAGGAAAAGACCTCTTTCTAAGAGTTTGGTTTTGATTCAATCAAGATTTTTCTGTTATAAATATTTGTATCTTGTGTCAAATGATTTAAATTTCATCCTTTTGGAATCTGTTCAAGATCCTGGTTATTTGTCAATATTGGAAGGTATCTTTGAATTGGGTGTCTATGGAAAATATGACCTCATAAGGTTGAGGAAATGCTCTCAAACTTTACTTTTACCGTATGGCAGTCGATTTGAATACCATTAGCTTCGAAAAGTATTTGGCTGACTGATTTAAGACTAAGACATTATGTAGTACTACTGTTAATGTGACTTTCAGATTTCTTGGTATCTAATGACCATGACCTGGACATTTTGATATTTATTAATCAACCCATCCCTGTGATACTTTACGAAGAGTTGCAAAGTGACAAGTTAATTGATATTCTGAATGCTTGGAAATTTATTACAAGAAATTATGTACCGTGCAGTGGCCGTACTTACTTTAAGAGGCATACATCCATGTCATCTGTTACAAATCATTTTATAACTAGTGCTAATTGTAACGGGGACCGTTACAGATGTTCCCCAAACGCTCCCCAACTCCCTTTTGGTGCCATATTCCCTGTAAGCTTTATTGAATAAGACAAACTCGATGCATTTGAGACTTTAATAACGTTTACCCAGAAGTGTACAAAGTTCATTCAAATTTTGCGTGCGTATGTGAATGCATGTGCGTAATGACCATATCATCTATATATTTTTATATACTAAATATTAAAGCATTTATTCCAAAAGTAATAAAAAGATACCCTCATTCAAGTGTTCTTTTTTTTATTTTGCTCATTTCACGAGCACGCACGTGCATACATGAGCATGGTGACCATATCTTCTTGTAGATGTCCGTTACATCTATCTATGTTCTAAATCCCACCCCGTTTGGTTGAAAACCAAGGGAGTTATAGCTGTTTAAAGTTTCAGCCAATCAGAATGCAGCGCACGTACATGCACGTGTATGCATGTGTATGGTGACCATACCTTCTTGTAGTAGTCCAGTATATCTATCTATGTTCCAAATCCCATCCTGTTTGGTTGAAAATCAAGGGAGTTATAGGTATTTAAAGTTTAAGCCAATCAGATTGCAGCGCACGTGCATGCACGTGTTTTCATGATAATTGCTATATATCGTGTTGTAGGATATCCTAATGCATGGCTTTTTTCAAAATTTCAAAGGATTTCGTCAAAAAATAAGAAAGATATTGAGACTTTAGTTTCAGCCAATCAGATTGAAGCGCACGTGCATGCGCGTGAGATCTTGCTATTTTGACCATGTCATATTGTCTATGCTTCTAATATATTCTTATATTATAAGTTTCAAAGCATTTCATCAAAAATTAAAAAAGTTACGCCTATATCAATTAAATAGGTCATTTCACATGTTGCACGTGCACACTCTTGCAAGCACGTGCGCGAAAAATGACCTTCGTTCCACAAATCTACATAACATGTCTACTGACCCTAAAAACATTTCACCTTAGTCGGATGTATAGTTTACGAGATCATTCCCGGACAAAAAAGTACCCAGGAAGAAGAAGAAGAAAAATAATAATAACTAGATGCGATCTCGTTGCGAGCAACGAGTAGGTCTTCCGTCCGATTTTTCGACAAGATGAGATACGATTTTGATGATGATCTTTGTTAGATCATAATGATATCAAGACTTCTCTCTTTATATTAAATTCTTTACTTTTTATAAAATTATTAAATACATGTAGTTATGGATGAAAGACTTTTGGCCCCTAAGAGCCCCTTATTGAGGGGTCAGACCCTTTCTTCCTATCTAATGATAAGGTTTTTAATTTTAAAGATTTTTTGTACAACAGCTATCCAGATATTTCTTTTCTTTTTCGAGCTATGAAGAATAGAAAAATTTAGGGGCCAGTCCTTTACATCCTTAATGGGACGTTTTTGCATATATAGAATGGTTGTATAATGTTTAAAAGACGATTCTGAGCATCTTTTATTCAATACTGCTTATCAAAATATCTCCCCTTTTGGAGATATAAAGATTCCAAGATTGAGCATTTTGTCCCCTTATGGCCCCTAATTACATAACATTATCAAAATTTTACAATGCATTGATGCAGATTGTTATGATATACATTTTTGCTTCAGTTATTCATAACAAAAAATTGATAAATGAAGAGTTATAGATGAAAGACTTTTGGCCCCTCTTTGCCCTATATTTGAGGGGTCACACCCCTTTTCTTCATATCAAATGAAAGAAAATCTAATTCTGCACAACTTTTATTATATATCTTATAACAAATTATTGACAGGTAAGAAGATATCAGAGAACACGTGTTAAATTTTGCGAGATATTTCCGAGCCTATTTTTCGAGCCCAGGTGAGCTTCATATCCTTTTGCGCTGGAAAGATATAGACTCAAAAAAGCAATACAGCATTCCTTCCTCTACCTTCACTAAAAATCTCAGGTCAATATGTTCATTCGTTTTTGAGTGATTGCCTGGACAAGGTGACCCTCTAAAAATCAGTTAATCGGCCATATATCACGACCGGAAGTGACGACGTACTTATAAAAAATTTCCAATAAGGTTCAGATCAATATCTATCAGATCTGAAAGTTTCGTGAAAATCGACCAAGCCGTTTCCGAGAACTCGCGTGCACAAAATCGGTAAGAAAAAAAAAGAATAATAATAATAGGGAAAAAGAAACCGAACGAAAACAATAAGGTCTTCCGTTGGAAACGGAAGACCTTAACTAGTGCTAATTGTAACGGGGACCGTTACAGATGTTCCCCAAACGCTCCCCAAATCCCCTTTGGTGCCATATTTCCTATGAGCTTCATTAAATAAGACAAACTCTATGCATTTGAGACTTTAACAACATTTACCCAGAAGTGTACCAAGTTCAGTCAAATTTTAGCATTACACGCGTGCGCATGTTAATGCATGTGCATAATGACCATATCATCTTGTCTACACAATCTATATATTAAATATACTAAATATTAAAATATTTAATCCAAAAGTATTAAAAAATATGCTCATTCAAGTGTATTTTTGATTTTACTCATTTCACGTGCATGCACGTGCATACTTGAGCATGATGACCATACCTTCTTGTAGAAGTCTGTTACATCTATCTATGTTCTAAATCCCACTCCGTTTGGCTGAAAACCAAGGGAGTTATAGCTGTTTAAAGTTTCAGCCAATCAGATTGCAGCGCACGTACACGCACGTGTATGCATGTGCATGGTGACATGCCTTCTTGTAGGAATCCATTATATCTATCTATGTTCCAAATCCCATCCTGATTGGTTGAAAACCAAGGGAGTTATAGCTATCTAAAGTTTAAGCCAATCAGATTGCAGCGCACGTGCATGCACGTGCTTTTATGATAATTGTTATACATCAAGTTGTAGGATATCCTAATGCATGGCTATGTTCAAAATTTCAAAGGATTTTGTCAAAAAACAAGAAAGATATTGAGACTTTAGTTTCAGCCAATCAGTGCGCAGCGCACGTGCATGCGCGTGAGATCTTGCTATTTTGACCATGTCATCATGTATATGCTACTAATATATCCTCACATTATGAGTTTCAAAGCATTTCATGAAAAAATAGAAAAATTGCGGCTATATCTACTATATTGGTCATTTCTCGTGTTGCACGTGCGCGCTCTTGCAAGCACGTGCGCGAAAAATGACTTTGATTCCGCAAATCTACATAACATGTCTACTGACCCTAAAAAGGTTTTACCTACATCGGACGAACAGTTTACAAGATCATTCCCGGACAAAAAAGTACCCAGGAAGAAGAAGAAAAATAATAATAACTAGATGAGATCTCGTTGCGAGCAACGAGGAGGTCTTCCGTCCGATTTTTCGATAAGATATTATTTTGACAATGATCTTTGTTAGATCATAATGATATCAGGACTTCTCTCCTTTGATTAAATTCTTTTACTTTCTACTTTAAAATTATTAAATACATGTTGTTATGGATGAAAGTCCTTTGGCCCCTAAGGGCCCCTTATTTGAGGGGTCAGACCCTTTCTTCCTATCCAATGATAAGGTATTTTATTTTAAAGATATTTTGTTCAACAAATATTAAGATATTTCTTATCGTTTTCGCGCTATGAAGGATAGAAAAATTTAGGGGCCAATCCTTTATATCCTAAATGGGATGTTTTTGAATATATAGAATGGTTGTATAATGTTTAAAAGATGTCCCTGAACATCTTTTATTCGATACAGCTTATCAAAATATACCCTTTTTGCAGATATAAAGAATCCAAGAATGAGCATTTTGGTCCCTTATGACTCCTAATTACGTAACATATTATCACAATTTTACAATGCATTGATGCAGATTGTTATGATCAACATTTTTGCTTCAGTTATTTATAACAAAAAATTGATAAATAAAGAGTTATAGATGAGAGACTGTTGGCCCCTCTTTGCCCTTTATTTGAGAGGTCACACCCCTTTTCTTCATATCAAATGAAAGAAAATCTAATTCTGCACAACTTTTATTATCTATCTTTTAACAAATTATTGACAGGTATCAAGATATCAGAGAAAACGTGTTAAATATTGCG